TGGTCTTCCCCATTGCTGCCAGTTATATCTTCATTCTTATACTCATAAAGCCTTTTGTGTTTTGCCGTGGTTTCCTGCAAAGGTTCTTGGCATTCAAGGTCTCGGTAATATGGTCCAATTACCCATTGCATCTTCTTTCCTATTGGTTGTCCTATGTAAACTATACAGTATTACACAAAATGCTTGATAATCTGAAAACTAGCCCTGCCCATTCCTGGCTCTTTGCTTTTGCTTTTACACTTTCTTTCTCCTGGTGTTAGTTTGACAGGTATTCTTTTGACCATACTCTCTCTTTTCTCTCTGGTAGTTTCTAGGATTTTATAACTGAAGTACTGCATTTCGCTGTGTATCAGAGATTTATTTTTGTTTGGTACTAAATGAAACCTCTAAATCAGAGGACTCTCTTGAAGTTTCTAAATAGCCCTGATAAGTGGCTGATCTCCATCGCCCATGGGTTTTGAACAAGTTGCTCGAAGTAACAATTGAGCCCAAAATGTCATCTTTATTATATAAAAAGGCCAGGGTAGAGGTTAGTTAATTTTATATTAGCCTAGTGTGTATGCTAATTATTGAACTCCAGAACTGGCCACATTTTTCCTTTCAGGCCCAGACAAGTGGACCTCACCAGATGAAGAGTCCCTCCTGGTAGCGAAGAAGAGTTGCTGGCCTGAACATGCCTAGTGATTTTCCTCAAATACACTCAGTAGGTAAATCACTGTACTTTGAGGTGGTATGAATAGAGGGGCAGAAGGAGGACAGAGGGAGGGAAAACCACTCCTACTCTGTGTCCTCCTCCAGAAAAAAAAAGAGACACCTGTGCTCTTGCGTCTCTTCACTTCCAGAAAAATCTTAATCTATCAAATGATTTTTTTTTCATATATCTCTTCCTTCTATTTTCTACTTCTGGGATGTCAGATGTATATTGGAGCCTCTCAATTCCTTCTACATGTGTCTCAATTTGTATGCTATTCTTATTACCTCTTTGCAATGCATTTAGGTAAATTCCCAATACTGTTTGCCCACACATTTTCTTATTTATTACCTGTTGAATAAAGATTATCCCATTATGGCAAACACTTATGAATAAATGTATCTTCTTCCTTATGAATACAAATTGTATTTCTTGGTTAGGGGGAAGGAAGCATGTGTCCACCTCCACAGAGAGACTCATGTTCACATCCTTTTTTATAGCTTGTGAGGATATTGAATTCTGTCCAATATAATGTAGGCAGAAATCTGTTGGGGGCTTTGGGGAGATTTGTATTTATTAATAATGGAGTTGTTGGACCTAATTTCATTGATTACTGATCCAATTTTAAGAAACAACTACCTTTACACTTTTTAATGTGAAAACAAAACTGCTTTCTTTATTGGTCCGTGACCTTTTAACTTCTGTGAATTGTCTTTTAATATTCTTTGTCAAATTTTCTTTAAAAATTATTTTTTGTCCTACTGATAAACAGATACTCTATATGCACTTGGGATACCAGTTCTTTGTTAGTTTTATGCATTGCAGCTAATCTCCCATTCTGCAGCTCGTGTTTCTTTTTTCATTTTTTTTTTTAATTTATTTATTTTAGAAAGAGAGTGAGTGTGCGTGTGAATGGGGAGAGGGGCAGAGGGAGAGAATCTCAAGCAGGCCCCCTGCTGAGTGCAGAGCCCCACACTGGGCTTGATCTCAGGACCCTGAGATTATGACTGGAGCCGAAATCCAGAGTTGGCCGCTTAACCGACTGAGCCACCCAGGCGCCCCATACATTTTCTATACAGTATTCTTTTTTTCCAGAAATTTCAAATTTGGTGTGGTTAAATATGTCAGTATTTTCCTTTTTGTATAGGCCTTTTGTGACTTGTCTAAGAATACCTTATTGTTCTGATGATGGACATAATATTCTACAATTTTTCCCTCAGTTTAAAAGTTTTGCTTTTCTCTGGTTACTAGGCCATATAAGATGAATATTTGTGTTTGGTGTGAAGTAAGATTTATTTCTGGGCTCTGTTCCATTCTAATGATCATTTTGTCCATCTCCACAAGAATATTGTTTTAATTACTATAGATTAATTGTCAGTGTTGATCATCTTCAAAAAGGTCCAATCATCTATTGGACCTTTAATGTTTCCATATGAATTTTTAAGTTCATCTGTTATAAATTCATGTAAAGTTTTGTGGATCTTTTTATTGAAATTTCATTGATTTCAGAGTTTGATTTGGGAAGTTGCTTTACAATATTGAGTCTTAATCTATGAGCATGGTATAGCTCTCCATTTCTTAAGATTTTTTTTGTTCTATAATTTTGGTAATAATTTTTTGGATGTTTCAAACATTCTGTGATTTTATTCTACTTAGTTGATTTTATTCCAACATAATTAACAATATTTTGTTGCTATTGATGATGGATACTTTTTATATTACATTTTAAATATGTGTTACTTTTATATAAGTTTCCTATGTTGATCTTGTGTTCAGAGCCCTTTACAGATTCTCTTATTCTAGTATTTGGTCCCTTGAGTATCTTTGATTTCTTTTCTTTGTAGACAATTGTACAAATTAATTTTAGGTTCTACATTCTAAGATTATATTAAATTAGGATGTATTGCAATAAGGAGCTTGGAGGGAGACAGTGTGGGGCTGTTACAGTGGCTCAGTGGTTTCATTGAGGACCAGACTTCTAACTTCATGTCACTCATTGTCACAACATTGCTTTCATCCTCATTATTAAAAGATGGTCACTGTACCATGAGGCATAAAGTCAGCATTTGGGTCAGTAAGAAGAGAGAAAGCTAAAACTACAACAATCTAGCGTGGGCCTCTAGGACCCCGACCCTTTTTCAACCCAGAGGGGACTGCACGTAAGCATAGTTCTCCATAAGACCTTGCCTTTCCCACTCTGTACTAGGAAACAGTTTCTTGCCCTGTTGCAGGCAACTCCCTTTCCCAGGCAACACCAAATAACAGTTGCATTCAAGTCCTGTTTACCTGGTATCCAAATGGTTTAATTATCCCTCAAAGGTCAGGGCTGCTCTTACATTTAGCCTTTGCTCTATGGAAAAGGAGATCTAAGAAGAAGATAGACTCAGTACAAATACAGAAAGTAAAAATGTTAGCTTTTTATTCCTTCCTCTCTCCTAATGCATGCCTTTAAAATTTTCCTTTTCCCCTTAATAGAGCTTACTCCTTAATCCAACTACACATATATGACATTGTGGAGTATTTCCCAAATTCTGTTGTAAAGAGACAATGACCATGATGGGATATGTGTTACCTAACACTTTCTAATTCTCATAGCTCTTATTTGCTTTTTTTGGGAGGTGGGCCCATAGGTGGTCTCATACAGGATGGTGGAGCCATAATGCCTAGAGGTGGTGGTGTTCGGCCCACAGGAGTGGGTGGGGTCCCCCGTCCTGGTGGGAATTGAGTTGGGGTTCCAGCATTGCTAATAGTAGCAGCAACTGCATCAGCTGCTAGAGTGCCTCTTCCCTGTGGACTCATTAGCTGTTGGGATGACCCCCCAACCCCTTGGACAGGGCCTGCTAATCCAGCAGGAGCCTGGGGAATTGGACCGCTAGCTGGCCCTCCTCTACCAGCTGCCCTGCCAGCCCCAGGGCCTCCTGCAGCTCCAGCAAGTGGTACCTGAGCAATGGCAGTCCTTACACAGTCATGGAAACCAAGTTCTTCCCACATAGCAACACCAGGCCCAAAACCCACTTTTCTTCATGCTCTGGCTGCTTCACATTCTTTGGCTTGATCTTCCTGAATCCATCACAGTCACAGAAGATCAAGTTCATAGGCTTGTCAAAAGCCTTAAAGGTGCCTGTGCAGATTTGGCCATTTTGCAGGTACATCTCATTCTGTGGTCAGTGTGCTGGGGCATCTTGCTGCTCTTTCCCACAGTCATGGTTGTTGTTTCACCAAATCCAATGTCCAGTTTCAGGATCCTTAAAACGGAAGGGGAGGCTACAGGTAAAGGTATGACACAGGTTCTCCTATAAACAATGCAAGCTTGGGGCAGAAGCTTCAAACAGTAGATGGAGCCTGGTTTTTCACTTGGAAATCGGCTAACACTGTTCCAATATTGCTTTAACCATATCTTGGTGTCTCAGCTAAGAATGCCTGTCTCTCTTCTGCCTGGAAATGCAGCACAGGTACTTGCTGCTGAGATCGCCTTGCATACAGCTGACACTCTTGGAAGCTCTGTGAGGCTGTCCTTCTATGTTGGACTTGAACTTCCCCCTCTGGTACATGCTGTGCCATTCTGTAGTCTATCTCAGGTGTAAGCAGTCCCTGGCTCGCTCCGTCGTGCCCTGCAGAACAGACCATCAGGCATCTCCGGGGACCGCTCCACTCTGCCACCATAGGTTACTTTTGGCTCCAACCATTTAGGGCAGCAAACTCTGGCTAACCACACAACTTGGATTCCAGCTCCCTGTTAGTGCCAAGGAAGGAGGCTAGCCCATACCTAGCCATGAACATTGACATGGTAAATCTTGCAGCTTGCTTCTGTCACATTCAGCAGTAACGGCTGGTATGGGACCACAGCCCCTGATCACACCCAGGATGGGCTGGTTACCCTTCCAAATGCAAATGTGGGGGTGTCAGGAGGAGCAGCTGGATCCACATTCTCTCACACTGTATAGGTATGATATCACAACCTGCAATAACATCAGCGGGATGATTAGGGTTTTTTACGGAGCTCTCTGGAAGCCCCTTGGCCCAGCCGTCGGGCTCTCCCCTGGTGGATGCTGATGATTGGTCCTGCCAGGCGGCCCTGTGCTGCCAGTCTTGTGACAGGCAGTGGAGGCCACGCAAGCCTGCTGCTGATCCTGACTTGCAGAGTTTTTCCCCAGTGCATGCCCGTCCAGCAAGCCTTGTGTACCTGCCATCTAGTCATTTGTCCTTGTTTGTCGACATTACTAATTTATTGCTTCTTGATTAATTATCTAAAAATGTAAAATGAACTATCTTGCTAGGATATTGATTAGTAAATTCCTCTTTACAGAGCATGATAATGCTAAATAATCATGGCTTGGCATTACCGGCCCTGTGGGGATTTAGGGCTCTGACCGAGGCACTCATGGAAACAGCAAGTGGTTTGGCTCTGTCCCTAAAAGGTGAACTGCGTGTTGTCTGCCTGTCTAGCTGCTGTCAGTATCCTAGGAATCTGGCGAGACTTTTCACCTTTCTTTAAAAATTTACAGATTTATTTATTTATTTACTTATTTGAGTGAGCACAAGCAGGGAGGAGAGGGAGAAAGAAGCAGATGCCCCACTAAGCAGGTAGCCCAATATGGGACTCAATCCCAGGACCCCAGGATCATGACCTGAACCAAAGGCAGACACTTAACTGACTGAGCCACCCAGGCGCCCCAAGACTTTTCACCCTTTAACATATTATGGTCTCACTTCTGGCTTCCTTCTATTCCACCATTTCTTGCTGTGCTGTTTTGGTTCCTTTCACCTTCCAGAAGCCAAATTCTTTACTTTCTCCTTCTGTACTAACACTCTAGTAAAGCCCAGTTTAGTTCCTGCTAGGCTATGTTACTATGTTTTCTTTTTTATCTCATTTGTTTAACATTTTCATCAGTTTGTAACAGAGGGAGTGTTAATATTTCATGTTGACCTCTCTGTGAATTTCAGGCATACTTAAAGTCTCTTTTCTATTGTTTGAGTTTCGCAAGCTGCAATTATTTATATTGCTGCCTTATCAGATTTCCTTATGTGATTTGGAATTTTAGTTAGGTCTTTAGTAGGAGGTTGGCCTCTTATCTTTTTTACTTTGTTTTTTTCACCCTTCTCTGTTCTCACCAGTCTTCTGAGGCCATGGTCTAGGACAGGCTTTTTATCAGTGGTCCAAGACTTCCATCCTGCCTAGGATAGACACAGATGCTTACATATAGAAACACTGGCTCTTCAATATTACAAGAAAAATAGATTTTGAAAAATATTTTATAAGATATGATTACTATCTAGAGAAGCAAATAGAGATAATAAGAAAACCATTCAAGTTAAGGTAGTCATTTGTTAAATGCCTAAACAAAAATCCATGCTATCCTCTATATATCCATTCATCATTCTGAAAACACATAGAAAAATAAACCCATAGTAAACATGGGATGGGACCTTGGAGTTATTGAGGAATTTTAACACATTTTTGGAAGGTGCCAAACAGATGAAAACTTATTTTACAAATGAAATAAACTGAGCTGAGGAAGCCAGAGATATGAATACATACAGAAGATTGCACTCAAATTTGGATTCAAGGGGTTCCTAAGTGGCTCAGTCAGTTGAGCCTTGGACTCTTGATTTCAGCTCAGATCATGATCTTGGGTTCTGAGATCAAGCCCTGAATAGGGCTCCCTGCTCAGTGTGGAGCCCATTTGGATTCTCTCTCCCTTTCCCTCTCCCCCTCCCCCTTTGCTCACATCTTTTTTTTTTTTAATTTTAGTATACACCTAAGGCTGAATTTTGCTTTTATATGGTACATTATTATATTAAGTATGTAGCTTCTATTTCCACTTAACCAAGGTAGTTTTATTTATTTTGTTTCAAATTTTTATTTAAATTCTAGTAAGTTGGGCGCCAGGGTGGCTCAGTCATTAAGCATCTGCCTTCGGCTCAGGTCATGATCACAGGGTCCTGGGATCGAGCCCCGCATCGGGCTCCCTGCTCAGCAGGAAGCCTGCTTCTCCCTCTCCCACTCCTCCTGCTTGTGTTCCCCTCTCTTGCTATCTGTGTCTCTGTCAAATAAATAAATAAAATCTTTTAAAAAAATAATAAATAAATTCTAGTAAGTTAACATATAGTGTAATTCTCCTGGTTTCAGGAGTAGAATTGAGTGAATTTTAAAGACGTGGATGTTGAATATTGCCGAACATCCATTTGTTTAAAAATTTTTATCAGATCTATCGAGATGGTGTTGTGTGGATAAATTTTCTCTTTTAAATATACTTGACTTCTTTTTATGTGCATATATTTCCTAATCTTGAACTCTTTTTATTCCTTGAGTCAACACAATTTGTAATAGTTTCAATATACTGTTTTTATACTATTTTGAAATAATTTCACACACACAAATAGTGCAAGAATAACACACAGAACACCTGTATATCTTTTATCCAAACTCTACAATTGTTAATATTTTTCTTAAAATTTATTTTTTAAAATCCCAGTATAATTAATGTCATATTATACTAATTTCAAGTGTACAATATAGTGATTCAATTTTATATCTCACTCAGTGCTCATCACAATAAGTGTACTCTTAATCCCCTTCACCTATTTTATACCCCACCAGTAACCACCAGTTTGTTCCCTATATTTGAGTTTATTTTTTTGTTTCCTTTTTCTCCCTGTTCACTTATTTGTTAAATGCCACATATGAGTGCAATCATACAGTATTTGTCTATGACTCACTTACTTCACTTAGCATTATCCCCTTCAGATCCATCCATGTTGTTGCAAATGGCAAGATTTCGTTCCTTTTTATGGCTGAGTAATATTCCATTGTGTATGTATACCACATCTTTATCCATTAATCTATGGAAGGACACTTGGGTTACTTCGTATCTTGGCTATTGAAAATAATGTGATAAACATCAGGGTGCACGTATCCCTTTGAATTAGTGTTTTCATTTTCTTTGGGTAAATACTCAGTAGTAGAATTACTGGAACATATGGTAGTTCTATTTTTAATTTTTTTGAGGAACCGTTATACTGTTTTCCTCTGTGACTGAACCATTTTGCTTTCCCACCAACAGTGCATGAGTGTTTCTTTTCTCCACATCCTCAACAACACTTGTTTCTTGTGTTTTTGATTTTAGCCATTCTGACAGGTGGCTAAATGAGATAATATCTTGTGGTTTTGATTGGCATTTCCCTGTTGATGAGTGATGTTGAGCATGTTTTCATCTGTCTGTTGGCTCTCTGTCTTTGGAGAAATGTCCATTTCTTCTGCTCATTTTTAAACTGGGTTATTTGTTTTTTGGTGTTGAGTTGTATAAGTTCTTTGTGTATTTTGGATATGAAACCCTTATTAAATATGTCATTTGCAAATATCTTCTCCCATTCAGTAGGTTGTCTTTTACTTTTTTTGATGGTTTCCTTTGCTGGGCAGAAGACTTTTATTTTAATGTAGTCTCAATAGTTTATTTTTGCTTTTGTTTTCCTTGCCACAGGAGACCTTTCTAGAAAAATGTTCCTATGGCCAGTGTCAGAGAAATTACTGTCTGTGCTCTCTTCTAGAATTTTTATGGTTTCATGTCTCACATTTAGGTCTTTTATCCATTTCAAGTTAATTTTTGTGTATGGTGTAAGAAAGTAGTCCAATTTCATTTTTTCACATGTAGCTGTCCAGTTTTCCTGAAACCACTTGTTGAAGAGACTTTTTCCCATTGCATATTCTTTCCTCCTTTGTCAAAGATTAATTGACCATAACATCATGGGCTTATTTCTAGGGTCTCTATTCTGATCCATTGATCTATGAGTCTATTTTTGTGCCAGTAACATACTGTTTTGATTACTACAGCTTTGTAATATAACTTGAACTGGAATTGTGAGATGCCTCCAGTTTTGTTTTTCTTTTCAAGATTGCTTAGCTATTTGGAGTCTTTTGTGGTTTCATACAAATTTTAGTATTCTCTGTTCTAGTTCTGTGAAAAATGCTGTTGGTATTCTGATAGGGGTTTCATTAAATCTGTAGATTGCTTTGGGTAGCATGGACATTTTAACAATATTCTTCCAATCCATAAGAATGTAATATCTTTCCATTTGTTTGTATCATCTTCAATTTCTTTCTTCAGTATTTTATAGTTTTCAGAGTATAGATCTTTCACCACCTTAGATAAGTTTGATCCTAGGTATTTTATTATTTTTGGTACAATGGTAAAGGGCTTGTTTTCTTAACTTCTCTTTCTGCTGCTTCATTATTGGTGTACAGAAATGCAACAGATTTCTGTATATTGACTTTGTATCCTGTGGCCTTACTGAATTCATTTATTCTAGTTTTTTTTGGTGAAGTCTTTAAGGTTTTCTATAAATAGTATCATGTCGTCTGCAAATGGTGACAGTTTTACTTGTTTTAACAATTTAGATGCCTTTTATTTCTTGTCTGATTGCTGTGGCTAGGATTTAGAATAGTATATTGAATAAAAGTGGTGGGAGTGGACATCCTTCTCTTATTCCTGATCTTAGGGGAAAAGCTCGCTGTTTTTCCTGTTGGAGTATGATGTTAGCTGTGGGTTCTTCATAGATGACCTTTATTATGTTGAGGTATATTTCCTTTAAACCTACTTTGTTGAGGGTTTTTATCCTGAATGTATATTGTAGTTTGCAAGTGGTTTTTCTGCATATATTGAAAGGATCATATGGTTTCTTTTATTAATGTGGTGTATCACGTTGGTTGATTTGAGAATATTGAACCATGCTTGCATAAGTCTCTCTTGAATGTGATGAATGATTCATTTATTGTATTGTTGCATTTGGTGTACTAGTATTTTGTTGAGGATTTTTGCATTTATGTTCATCAGAGATATTGGCTTGTAATTCTTTTTTTTTTTTTATAGTGTCTTTATCTGGTTTTGGTATTGGGGTAATGCTAGCTTCATGGAATGAATTTGGATGGTTTCCTTCCTCTTCTCTTTTTTGGAATAGTTTGAGAAGAATAGGGACCACATTTTCTTTAAATGTTTGGTAGAATTCACCTGTGAAGTCGTCTGGTCCTGCACTTTGTTTTCTGGGAGTTTTTGATCATTGATTCAATTTCATTGCTGGTAATCCATCTGTTCAAAACTCTATTTCTTCCTGATTCAGTTTTGGGAAGTTATTGTTTCTAGGAATTTACCCATTTCTTCTAGGTTGTTCAAATTATTGGCATACAATTTTTCATCATATTCTCTTATAATCCTTTGTATTTCTGTGGCACAGTTGTTAACATTTACTCTGTTTACCTTATATCTTCCCATTATGATGGGCATTTCATCATTCTTTCTACATTTATTGTTGGTAGCCTACCATTTACTTGTTCATTTATTTATTTCAAATTTCATTATTCTTTCTACATTTATAGTTGGTAGTCTACCACTTACCTGTTCATTTATTTATTGATATCAGTATAAACTCATGGATTTTTATTTTATTCAATGCTTTTAATTCATTAGTATATTTATT